ATATGTGCTCCAGCACACACAAGTAGTCCACCTTCTTAGCTCGTCCAGCTGGTGGGTCCAGCTCTACTACCTCAGCTCGGGGAGGTATCTGAACCACACTAGCCGGTCCAGCTCTAGCTCTAGCTCCAGCTCCAATAGCAGCTGCAGCTCGCAAATCAGTAGGCCTTCCAGCTCGTAGCTCAGCTGTCCGTTCAGCTGGTCGGCCTGGATTCACTTGGCCCACGGATGAGTTCACCAGTGGTGTGAACGCTTGGGTGAGAGCTAGCATCTGAGTTCCCATCTGCACAACCGCATCTAGGACCTCCCTCATGGACGGTTCAGCTGCCTTCCGAACCTGGTTCACCTCAGCCTGATCAGCTTCCACAGCTCTATCAGTTAGGTTTCCAGCTCCTCGGTTGGATGATTCAGCTCCATCCTCTTGCTCCAGCTCGTCCTGAAGCTCTTCATTTCCCACGGCCTCCTTAAGAGGAACCATAGGGTCTGGCTGGGCTCCGGTTCCCTTGTCCACCAGCTCATCTCCAGCTGGCAACGTTTGGGACAGGATCTCTCCATCCTCCCTTGCGGTTCCAGATGCTCCAGCTGCATCTTTAGCCTTCTTGGACTTGGCCTTCTTGTATACCTTAGCCAAATCACAAACCAGACACAACAGGTTAGTTCCAGAAGTGTACCAAACAACCGGAACCTCATATACATATACATAACCAAAATTTTAAACAACACTAAAGACCAAACCGTGAGACCCAAGCCGGATGTGTGATGAACCTGCATAACCCCCAAATCCTAGAATCAAGCATGCTCTGATACCAACTTATAAGACCCGATCCTGGTCCTTAAGACCCCAACCGAACCAAGCCTTACTTAACCTAGATTTCTATGTTTGATTCCGGTTTTAAGTTCAATAATTCTTAAGTCAATTTCAATCAGATGAGGTTCCAACAATCAGAGTGAGTAAACAAGCCTAATAAGGGGCAAACCAATTGTATAGATATAAATCAGAGTAATACAA